TTTATAGAGCCAAGACATTCTTTCTACATGATTAACAAATAATGTTGGGTACTCAATATTCATTGGGTCCTTGTGGATTAATGAAACTTTGGTTGTATTTAGGCAACCATTGAAAGACACCTTTAGGAACAAAGAGTTTCTTAAACTTGAACTTTGCAATGGAGTGACCCTTTTTGCAACAATAATGATAATACAAATTAAGAGAAGATGGGATTTTGCTATTTGTTTTCTTTTCAACATAGTTTTACCTTCTATAAGGATTATGAGAAGGCAAGTCATATTTAGAAGTATCTATAGCAAAATTAACCTTAGGTTGCAAATCCTTATCCAACTAGGCTTTAAGAGTCCTTGACTCTTTTTGCCACATGTGACAAGTTTCACAATCAAACCGTGAAGGTTTAGTATCCTTATTTTAATCTTTTAGAATATCTAGCATAGACTTCCTTAGAGGTTCCATATTCTTTTCATTTTCCAAAATCATAGCTTCTAAGTGAGAAATAATTCTTTTGTTCGAAGCTAATCTCTTGAAAGCCTCTATGGCTTATATTTATAGATTTTTAAAAGATTCTTGTAATTGGGAAAATCTAAGTCACGAGAAGTATGAATTTTAGAGTGAATTACAACCTTTTATTTCCTTTGTTTTCCATATAACAAAGCTTGGTAAATTCAATACTTGAGGTGGAACTATCATCAATTGAAGAATCGCTTTCGCTCTCCAAAGCGACATAAGCTCTTCTAGACTTGCTAGATCTTTTATCACGGTATTTTTCCTTGTCTTTCTTGATTATAGGACACTCCAGCTTATAGTGGACCGATTTGCCACAATTGTAGCATGTACTTCTAGACTCACCCTTCTTGTTCTCGTCTTCCTTTGAGGAGTTATAACCTTCTAAATTTTCCATGTTTCTTGTCGGAGTATTTGTCTCCATATTTCCACATGTATCTATTAAACCTCTTTATAAACAACCACATATCTTCTTCGTCAGAATCATTGTCATCTTTAGTTTCACAACCACTTTACTCATAATGCGAGGACTTTGAGCTTGAAGTATTTAGAGCAACAAACTTCTTCTCTAATTCCTTGTATTTTCTTTTCTCCTTCTTCACCTTCTTTTCATACTCTTTTTCATGGTTTTCTAAGCAAGTGAGTTCTTACTCATGCTCTTCCAATTTACCAAACAAATTCGTGAGATCAAGTACTTTAAAACCATTCGCCTCTTTAATAGTGGTGACGTTGGGATGTCATTCCTTATTTAAACATCTCAACATATTGTTCGTAGCAATCTCATTGGAAATAGGCTTACCTAGTGCATTTAATCGATTAATAAGATGTGTGAACCATTTTCGCATGTCCGCAATGTCTTCACCATGCTCCATACAAAATAGCTCAAACTCTTGATTTAATATGTTGATCCTAGCTTGTTTGATGTCATTAGTATCCTCATGGGCAACTTCTAATGCGTTCCCCATAGCTTTGGCGGTCTCACAATTAGAAATGCGATAATATTCATCAACACGCAAAGCGGATGTGAGAATATTTTTCGCATTCCAATTATGTGACCACAATTTCCAATCGTTAGCAACCCACTGTGGTTCCAATTTATGTAATGTAACACCCTCACCATTGGTCATGGTAATTTCATTCAGACCATTTTTTATGGCGTCCCATATACCCTTGTCAACGCAGTTGACATGAATATGCATACAAGCTTTCTAATAGCCATTACTTTTGCCAGTGAAAATTGGTGCTCTATTATACGCTCCCTTAGTTTCAGTAGTCATTCCTCTAAAAAGAAAATCTTAAGCACGAAATTAACCGGATCTCGTGATACCACTTGTTAGATCATAATTTTAAAATTTAAACTTTTGGTAAAAATAGTTTTTAAAAGTTTAATGGCACAACAGAAACAACCTAAATCGAATCGTATAACCGAACCTACTATCGAATGATAACGAACACAAATGAATGATAACAAACACAAATTGTTCAGAAACGATTAATCACAAACAATTAAATGCTAAGCTACATGTAAAGCTTATTTAAAAAAAATGCAAAAGACAATTTATCGAACATCTTGTATGCAATCGATAATGTTTGTAAATTTAATTTGTTTTGTTGATGTTAAAGCTAATAAAAAACAAAGTGATTATGGATATATCAACAAACATTAATTCAAAATATAATCAAGAATTTAATTTCAAACGAATTGATCAAACAACAACAAATTTGATAATTTTCAAACACAAAACTAAAGAGATATATAGAGAGACACACAAACAAGAATTTGTTTAGGCAGTTCCCCAATCGGCCTCGCTATGGGTACATCTGCCCTCAATTCGAATTTGAATTAACATAGTTGCAATTAACCTTACTTTGCAAAAAATATATATACAAGAGATAAAGAACTCTAACCCTACAAACCCTATGGTTTGTTGTTGAATCTACCACCTCCAAAACCCTTGATCAAAGATTGATCAAGTCACCAACAACGCTGCTTCAATCCACCATTTCTTGTTGCTACCTTGCAAGACCTCTTTGTCTCAAGGTTTACACTCAGTTGAATTAATCTCAGGCATGCACTTTTTCAATCCAAGATTTACGAACACGATCCATCGTATCACGCTACTCCCTTGCAAGCAACCACCTTGTCTCAAAGCCTTCACTCGATCGGATCCAAATTACAAATCTTGCCCAAAACCTTCAAATCCTCAATGATCTTGAAGGAAAACCCTGGTTCGGTTTTCTTATTTGAAACACTCAAAGAACTCAAACCAATATTCTTGGCACAACAACCTAATTGGATGTTATCTACCCTAATCTAAATGGTCGCCCAATCAAAAAATGATTATGTGTAATTTGATTGTGTGTATGCATATAAGAGAGGTTGAAGATGATGAGCATGCTTTGAAATTCTAGTTTCGTATAGGTTTTACACTAGAACCTTACTAGAAAAAGATGTATGTAACAATGAGTGTGTGTGTGCGTGTGTGTGTGTGTGTGTGTGTGTGTATGTGTGTTTGTGTTGTGTGTGTGTGTGTGTGTGTGTGTGTGTGTGTGTGTGTGTGTGTGTGTGTGTGTGTGTGTGTTTGTGTGTGTGTGTGTGTGTGTGTGTGTGTGTGTGTGTGTGTGTGTGTGTGTTTGTGTGTGTGTGTGTGTGTGTGTGTGTGTGTAAGAGATATGGATCAAAGGGCATACATGTGAAATTGAAAGCAAAAACAAAATTTCAAGATTTGAAGTCTATAGGTCGACCTATAAAAGTAGTTGTGTCGATCTACAAAAGTCTTAGGTCGACCTATTTGAGGCGAACTATGGACAGTGGCTACAACCTTCGTTATTGAGGTGTGGAGGTCGACCTGAACAAGCAGTGTGTCGACCTATACTGAAGCAAAAACTTTTATAGGCCAACCTAAACATGTATGTGTCGGCCTATTCAGTATTTTTCATACTAAAAACTCCATTTTTGATGCATGGATCTTGCCTAAAACATTTCCAATCATTTTTAACCATATTTATATGCACCCTAATGCTAAGATGATCAATGCACATCTAGACTTTGATGATACCGTCTAATGTACAAAAATGCTAAAGTTTCTACTAGTTTTGACATCATTCAAAACATAACTAAACAAAAAGATGCACTCACAAAATTGTATATAAATGTTTAATTAAGATAACATATGAGTTACATTGTACGTGTTAAATTGCTAATTTTCAAATATAAGGTTATCTTGTTCCACTAGAACTCATTCATGTGTTTTGGAGGAAATTACAAACTGCAGAGTATGAAGTCATTAAAGAAGGGAGTGAGACACAATTAAACTTATAAGAACAATGTTAAGAGTTGAAGAAGTATTTAGCAACTTAGATATTGTTAGCCAGAGGGCGGTGACGGAAAAGGTGCATGAACTTATATATCCATGCACAAATTTTGTGTCCACGACCAGTGATGTATAAGCCAAAAAAAGGAGCTAAGATTCAGAGGAGGCAAGAAAGTGATGTGCATCGTGATCCTTGATACTGGTAGTATGTCAATGCCTCACATGAATGAAGGTGAGAAAAACACAAGAATGTGAGATTGAATTGTGTTCTCTTATACAAACTTTTTTTTGTTTCTACTTCTAATTGATCTTAATCAAATTCTGAACACTTAATTTAGAGTCTGAATCAGAGTCACTCATTCTGAACTCTTGAATATTTTTATCAAATTTTGCAATAGAGCCTAACTCGGAGGTAAATAAATGATATAAGATTTAGAATATTTTTATCAAATCTTTATCTTCTTCCCCTTTTTCATCTTCATCATTATCTTCATCGATCTTCATCCAAATCCTAAAAAAATAAAAAAATAATTAAAATAATTAAAATAATTCCCAAAATAAAAACCCAATTTGCTTTCTCAAATTCTTTAGCTTTTTCATTCACACACGATCTTTCTTTCATGTCCTTTAGAAAAAATGACATTGGTTGATGGAGAACAAATTTTAATTTTAATTTCTTATTTTCCTTGTCTTTTAAATCTAGATATGTAATCAAGCTTCGATTTTTCTTTCTTTTTCTCAGATCCAAAACAAAAAGTTTGAACTCTTTGTTTCTTTGAAAGCTTTATATTTAATTTCTTAAGACATATCTGCAACAAAATACACATTTTTATTATAATTAATTTATAAAAGATATATTTTTTTAATTTTTGATTATCTAATTGGATCAATTTTTCTTTTTGGCAACTCTAAAGTTCTAAAGCAATGAAACATTAAATCATTTACTGCCGTGAACCAAAAAATAACAATCAAAAGGCTCCATTTGTATGGTCAAAGCTAGTTTTATGAAATGCTTGAAGCCATAAAATATTTTTAATTTACAAAATGGATAAATTGATCCCACCTTTGTTCTCCACTAACTTACCATACATGAAAAGGTAAGATATGAAAAGTAATGAAGCAAAATGGTGTATCTCTATATTATGAGAGATATTGAACCATCAAGTAAAACCCTTCCATGCTTAAATGCCATACCTAGTTATTCCAAGATGGTGATTACCTTGGCCTATATTGATGGCTTGAGCTTTCATCTTTGCTTCACTCCAAATCAAAGGCGCCGCCATCGAGTCCATGCCTAGCATTCTTCGTTTCCCTGCACTTGGAGATCCTTCTAGAGTCAATCCTCCAGAGCTCTCGTGCGATGTTAAACAACTTTCAGTTGAGCAATCGGCCCTTTGGGGTGGGAGGGTTGGAGGAATTTCGTCTTCTGGAGCATTCACTCCGGCCGCCTCAGTAGACGGCAAGGAATAAAAGCCAAGATGGTCAACCAAGGGAGCTCTTGGTGCTTTATTTTCAATTCCTTGGAACTTTTGGCTGTCTGTGTCTATAGCAGAAGCACCTATAAATTGATCAGCCAGCATCTTGCAAGCTCTTTCAAGCATAGCCATGTATCTTCGCTCCGCATCCTGGCGAATTTGCAAGTGCTTCTCTGCCTACAATGTTAACCAGTAGTTTACTTTGCATGTGGTACAAAATTCATTAAGCAATATTTGATAGACAACTTGCGCTACGAAAATGAAGTTACCTCCACTTGCAAATGTAGTTTACTTTGCACTTCCATCTGTGCTCTTAATGCCTCCTTGATTTCATAACCCCTATGCATAAAATTACTTACTCCTTCAATTTGGTATTCAAAACGATTGAGACGTGTGAGGAATAAGAATTTTTTGTACGAATTAATGAAATTCCTTACTCGTTTGTATCGGACGTAGGTAACTTCGGAGATGAGTTATCGGTGCCAGGGCTTTCTAAAAGATAGGAACCTGTCATCCCTACCATAAATTTTCAACAAATCAAACCGGGACTATAACAGAAAACCTCGGTATACTTACAGTTTGCCAAGTACTGACAAGCTTTCTTCCAATTCAGGAACAGTTATCCATAGTGAATTGTACAAATTCAAACATTAATTAGCGTGTTGATCATAAATTAACTTGGTTCTCTACTTTCCCAAAATTAGACTAACTTGGTACTTAATTGGAAATATATCCCTAATCGCGATTCTGCAGGAACCTTTATAGACAATATAACCTAAGTTGCTAATGTATTATTACGGCATTGGTTCCTATTTTATGCAGAAAATATTAAAATGAAAGGATGATAACTAGAAAATCTATAGAGGGGAGCGGCAACTATACCATCTTTGCATCCCTCCCCTATATCTTTTCCTGATTGCTTACCAAGTCTGTATTTCTGCAAAGCACCGAGGAAAAGTTTAATTTTCATTCATACCTTAAAATTGTGCATATAGTATTATTCAAAGAATCGAACAAACCTGAAGATGACTCTTTAAATGAAATAGAGTTAAACCCTTGACGTTCATTGTCCGCATGATTGCTTTTGGTGTAGCTTCTGCAGATGACATTCAGAACCTAGTCAGAAAATTCTATGGTGATAATCTATACATTATGATTTCAACTGGAACTAGATATGAAATGGAAAGTAGGCTTTGACAGCTTATGGATGCTTGGAAGAATAGATCAAATATATCAACAGCATGTTGTTAGCATTGAGGATGCAATAGATCAAATCATAATATCCCGCACCATTCATTCAAAACATATATAGGCCTTGTTTGGATAAGTAACTTAATTAAGCGCTTATAGAATAAGTTTTTATAGCGTAAGAGTTTATCATATATGTGTTTTTTTGTGACAAGATAAAATCAAGTCTAACTATTTTCAAACAATGTACAAGCTGTTTTTATAAGCTATCCTAGAGAGCTTATGGAAATAGGCTGAAAATAGCTTATGAATATGTAATAAGTTGTTTGCATAAGCCCTCTCAAGCAGACTCACAAGTGCTTATGCCAATTAAAAAGCTCGAGTAGGTCAATTCAAACAGGTCCATAATATAACAGGGTGGAAAATCTAGGTACAAGATTGCAAGTAGTCACAGGAAAACCAGAGTTTGTAGCAACACAATACAGTTGACCTAATTTTGAAAATATACAGTTACGATGACAAAAACACAACATAAACCAAAAGAGTATCCCTGATTAATTGTCTTTAAAGTCACAACTCAGCCAAACAAGTTAATAAATTTACAATTGAAGTTAGAGATTAGTCATAATCTTGTAGCACTAAATAGCACTTATTAATAATATATCTAACATTAGAAAATCTCTCGATATATCTTCTTGTACACAAGAAATTACTCACACCCATCATAACTTTAGTCTCTTTTTGTAAATTTAAATGTAATCCTACCGGTAACAAGAAAAAAATTGATGTCTCGCAAGTTGGTGTTCCTAGATTTGTTTCCTAAATAGAAGTTAATTTTTCATTTACATTTTCACCCGTCAAATCATATATGTGCTTCATACCCTACATGTTCATCAATATGTCACCTTCTTTGTATGAATGTATAGATTTTCTTCTAGAACAATCTAAGAATACTTTTTAATACAAGAAACTCAATAGTTTAATAAAGATTAACTTTTTCTGCTTGAACTCGCTCTAAATGCTGAAACAAACATGCGATTAATATCAAGTGAAAAACGAAAAATTATCCAATCTTTATATTGTTTAGGTACTAAGCAGTCACATTTCAGCCACAAAGGTTGCAGAATGCATATGATAATTATTTTCCCTACTTTCTTTAGGCAAGCAACTCCATCTTCAACTATACCACTTAAAGTTTTGTAAAACATCTAAAGAACTGGAAGCTCTGCAACTGCCAAGCTATATCTCGACGGATATCAAACTCAAACCGTTCTTCAAATGTTTGTACATGTTCACATAGTCGCAAATATATACATAAACATTCAATGTCAATGGTGAGAATTGAGAAGATTCAGATTATCAACAAACAAGGTGATCAAATGATAAGACTTTTCCACCTACATTGTTACAATAAATTCTACTAGGAACACTAATTGCTCTTGATAAACAAAACAACTAATTCAATAGATGAGATCATTCACAACCAAGATAACACCTAAACAATGGGATCAAAACAAAAACAAATCCCCTCATTTTCCATGCTTCCCAAAGACAAAGCATGATCATTGCAAACAAAAAACTTCAAAATCTAGCGGAACCTAAACCAAACGAGCCGAATTACACATAGCTCGATTTCAACTCATTCATTTCATAAGCTCAATTTTCATCTCAAAATCACCTTATTTTGTTCACGAAATCAAGTCTAATGACTTAATACTCCAATCAAGTCCAAAAGTAACAACTTGTAATAGATTCAATTCAATTCAATTCACAAAAATCCAATTGAGACACTGTACCATTTGTGTTCCAATAAAAAAAACACATAAACATATAACAGAAAATGCTTAAAGAAACGAAGAAGGACTCACTACTAGGGCCTCCAAGCTGAGTAACAGCATCAACAAAGCGTTCATGAAGGTCTTGAGTCCAACGAAGACGAGGTTTTGGATCAGCAGTCAAAACAAGACAAGGATCACCCTTATGATTGACAGCGCCAACAGCAGCTTGCAAATCATCTTGTCCAACAATTCCTTCATGGGGGTGTATCAATCTAGGATACATCGTTGTTGTTCAATCTAGAAAGTTGAGAAGAATGAATGAAATCAAAGAAAGAACAGATCCAATAGAGGTTGAAGTAAGAAATGACTAGTATTATTACTGGTGCTACCCATTTGAGTGAAGAGGTGAAAAAGAGAGAAATAAAGGGAAAAAAGTAGAGAAGATGATGAATGAAAGTAGCGTACGAAGTAAATTGAGTCTGAAAAATGGCACGCCTTTCGGGGATCTTGTCCCTTTCTCCTCTTTTCGCTGAAAAAACAAAACAAATCGAAAAGACCAAATTTTTAAGACTTATTGTCTCTCTATCTAACTCTGTCTTTCATATTACTACTTTTTTTTATGTAAATTATTTTTTAAATATAAATACATAATATAATTTAAAATATAATAATTATAATAAATATTATATTATTTAACTAATATCATTTATATCATTTTAAATTTAATATTTTTATTTTATATTTAAACTTAATAAAAATTTTCGTCTCTGTTTTAGTTAATTTTTGAAATTAGTCACTATATTTTAAATTTAAATCTCTTTTCATAATCTTTATCTTTTAATTATTAAATGTATTTTCTATAAAATATATTTTGAATTAAAGTTTAAAGGCATTGCATAGAAAATGTAAAACAATATTGCAATTTAAATTAATCAAATTATTTTTTTTTTGACTCTTTACATATTTCAAGACCTAACTTTTAGAAAACTATTTATAATTTTTTACATACTACTAGTTTAAATCATCTATTAAATTTAATACTATTACAGGTTATTTAATAAAAAATATCAATCACGGATGTTATATCATTAACTTAAAAAAATTCTATTTTGTTTGACAAAATATATAATAGTAATTGATTGATAGTGTAAAATTTACACGATTTTTTATATTTTATTTCATATATTTTTATCTCCTCAATAAAAACTAAAAATCATAACAAAATAAATATTAATATTGTATTAAACTTTAAAATAACAAAAAAAATCCCTACAAATAGACCAACTAATAAAAAACAAATTGAATACATATACATTTAAAAAAAAATTATGCATAAAATATTGATTGATAATATAAATTTGAGATAAAATTAAAATAAAAAAAATACTAGTTAGTATTAAATAAAAGAAAATATATTGTTGTCTGTTTCTGACTTTTTTCTGTGTCTCATACATATGGTGTCTATGTCATCCTGTCCTTTTATTTTGGTCTGCAAATGGAGTCAGTGGAATGAGTGAAAAAAAGGTTAGAAAGAAAAGCAAACAAAGATGGTGATTTTCACATAGCACAACACAACAACACACTCAGCACTGTCACTATGCCAAATTGCAATGAACTCAATTCACAACTTTTCTCCTCTTTTTGTATTTTTTACTTTAATTATGGTTTAGGTGATGTGGAAAAGTTAAAAACTGTGGTAAATGATGTGTCTTTTGGATTGTCAACTTTCCTCTCTCATAATTGATGTTTTGTATTACTGTTATTAATGAGTTTGACCTCTTTTGATCTTTCAATCTCATTACAATCGTTGAAGATAGAAATTAAGGAACCAGACACGGGTCATTATCAGAATAGCAACAGCATTCCATTCTCAAACGTTAATATCTGTCACTCCAACTCACCCATGTGTGGTGGCGGTGGAGGATACAAGAAAACACAAAATTTGTGACTATTTACCAAACTTGTCATTGCTACATTTTCTATATACTAGTATATATTTTAAGGTTGAGATCGGGTGGTATCAAATTTATCAAATTTATTATTCAATCATATCATAATAGATTGCTTTGAGTTGAATAAAAACTTATATTTTTCTATCTTGAAAAAATAATTTACTTTATCATTTCACATCTTAAAAAGTTGTATAAATGAAAAAATAGAATAGTATTTCTTTTTAGTAAAATGTTATTATTGATGAAAAATTAATACACAATAAAATAATTGTTAGTGTCTTAGAAATTTTTAGTAAGGAAAGAAAGAAAAAATAATTATTGAATTACAAACTATTTATTTATATACAACTAACTTGTCTATTAAGTAAAGTAACAAATCTTAAACTTTAATTAATTTTAGGTTTGGGCCACACAACTCAACTTAGATTATATTTAATATCTCAACATACCCCTCTATAATTTAAGTTGTCGAAACACACTAATCATTGTCGATCTGAACAATTCTTAATTTCTTTCTCAACGTTAGGAACTTGTCGATTTTCAATCCTTTGGTGAAAATGTCAGCCAATTGTGCTTCACTTGAGTAATGTCTTACTTCAAGTTCATCTTGATTCACCTTCTTCCTTAAGAAGTGAAATTTAGCTTCAATGTGCTTACTCCTTCAATGCAAAATTGAATTCTTTGCAAGATTTATGGTTGACTTGTTGTCGATCTGAAGCACCAAAGGTTTATTCACTTCGACCTCAATCTCTTCCAGCACATATCTGATCCAAATTGCTTGACACGCAACATATGACCCTGCTATATATTCAGCCGCACACGATGACAATGCCACCACAAGTTGCTTTCTCGAGCACCATGAGATTGGACCGCCAAATAATTGAAAAAAATATCCAGTAATGCTTCTTCAATCTTCCTTATCTCCACACCAATCAGCATCTGAATAGCAACTAACCACAACTGCTTTGCTTTTAGAGTCTCGTCGAAATGGAATTTCATAGTTTGTCGATCCTTTTAAGCATCTCGGGATTCTTCTTGCAGCTTTCATGTGTGACACACTTGATTCACTCAAGCATCTGCTCACTAATCCGAAGAACCTTATCACCAAGACTCAACAATATTGCATTGTGGGCTTTCTCAATCATGTTCGTCTTTTCTTTTGCCATTAACGCGGCGTCCATGGATGCCTCTCCCTTCAACGCTTCCAAACAACCTTGTTGAATCAGCAGGGCTTTCATCTTCAAGCGCCACAGACCGAAGTCATTCACTCTGGTAAACTTTTCAATCTCATACTTTGTTGAAGTCATATTCTCCACGTTCACCGCACCAATTTGTTGTGAATAGGATGTCTTGAAATAAAATATAAACGGTTTCTTTATAGACAAGAAACACATAAGGGTTAGGGTTAACAAAGAAAACAAAGGAAAACAACAAAAAGAAACAACAAGGATTGGTTATAAGCTGTTATTCTTTCCTTTCTCTATCAAACAAGATTACAAGTATACAAGAATAACAAAATAACCTCTCTCTCTTGAATTAGGATTTTATATTCCTATTTTTTCTTATACCAAGATGAGAGACTAACATGTTATTTATAAAAAAAATTAGCACATTAACCTAATGGAATATTTAACAATTACCCATTACAAGCTAACTTAGGGTACAAGCTAACTTAAACAATTGGGCTTACAAGCAAGGCCCAATTCAACATGCTAACAAACCTAGCAATATCGACTAATGCATGTTAAAATAAACTTCGACTACAACACGCATTACTCCCGAATCGACTTCGACCATACTAAAGTTCGATCCAATAGCTCACAAATCTCCACCTTGGATCTAACTCGATAATATCAAGACACTAGATTTCTTCATGTAGCTTTATCAACTGCATATAGTGGAAAAACTTGCAATTGGGAAACGTCTTGGTGATCATATCAGCAGCATTATAATCTGTCGAAACCTTCAGCACTTGGACTTTTCCACGCTCGATTACCCCTCTGACGAAATGCAGCCTCACATCAATGTGCTTGGTTCGCTCATGATAGGCTGAATTCTTCGACATGTGTATTGCACTTTGACTATCAAATTTAACAGTGATAACTCAACCTTGAAGTTTCAGCTCCTTTGCAAAACCTTCAAGCCATAATGCTTCCTTCACAACTTCAGTTAGGGCGACATATTCCGCTTCAGTGGTTAATAAGGCAACGACCTTCTGAAGTGTAGCTTTCTAACTAATTGTTGTCCCAAACATAGTGAACACATACCCAAAAATAGATTTTATGGAATCCATTCAACCTGCATAATCAGAGTTGACATATCCTTCAATTGTTGATTTACTATCTTCACTCAAGGCTCTGTAACACCCTTATAAACCCCACGGAAAATATACGAATAATCAAAGTAAATTTTCATGCATTTACAAAAGGGCGTCACACATCACTTTCAAAACATCAAAACACCTGTCATACTCGTTAACACTTTAATAAATCATCATGCTTTTCAAAGTTTCATTTCGCATGTAGCAGCAGATTCATTTATAACATAATACTCTTAACGGGAACATTCACGTTCATCACATAAATCAACATCCCTTAGGCACTGAGGCCAACATCATAATATTCCGATGAATATAAACACATATTATAAAGTACTTAATATATCTCTAAAATATAAACCAAACGATCTCAGTGTTACATGACCAGAGCATGACTTGACCCAATATAACTAAATTACTAAATGGCTACACCAACAACGACCACACAACTACGAGCAGCTCTATTCTCGATACCTGCACGATGTCAGATAGGACATCATTCCAGCAGAAGGGTGAGAAATATTATCATAATAATCAATGCATATAATTATATATATCCACAATCTTAGAATACACATAATCAACATTCTCACCACAAGTCATCCATATACGTCACAATGTATATACAATATATATGGATAATCACCAAACATATTCATCATAATTCACTCATGTACATCGCCATATACGCATATATATATATATATATATATATATATATATATATATATATATATATATATATATATATATATATATATATATATATATATATATATATATATATATATATATATATATATATATATATATATATATATATATATATATATATATATATATATATATATATATATATATATATATATATATATATATATATATATATATATATATAATCCAAGCATAACATCATGCACACTTCCACAATTTCAATCAATCCACATAACATACACATTATGTTTAATTCACTATAATTCATATAAACATATACAATCATGTTTATTCATCAAT